CACACACACACACACACACACACGAGTGGACTCTGATATTGGGGTGTAACTTCCCACAGTGACAACCTGACTGACATATTTCTGCTAAGATACTCTTATATTTAGGTCAGTGTTCTTAGAACAAGAGTGGATTTGTTCTCAGGGAACATTTGGCAATGTTAGAAGACATTTTTGACTGCCACAGAAGAAAGAACAGGCTGAGTCCAGGGACACCATCAAACATCCTGGATGCACAGGACCACCCCATAACGAAGGACTGAGTGGCCCCAAATGTCAGTGTGGCAGGGAAGTGAAACCCAGGCTAAGGTGGCCACCACGGGCCATGGAGGCATGGGGTGCAGGATGGCAGGTGGGAGTTCCTGTCATCATCTGCCCTGGCCACAGGCCCGCTGGTACCCAGCGCACGGCCCAGAGCAGGGGTGGTGAACCTGCCGCACAGCACCACAGCGCCCGTGCAGAGACAGCTGCCCAGCAGCCCAACACTCAGATTAATCGTGGCACTGGCACTTCGCAGTAAATTCGTGAGTTTGGGCTGCAGTTTGGGCACTCGTTCTCTGAAAGGCTCCCAGGCACTAAGCAAGAGGTTCTGCCTGTTATGAGGGCTGCAAGGGGCCACCTGCTGTGCTTCCGTTGCAGAGGCATTTCAGAGAGCTCTGAGGCAGGGGGTCAGGGGAGCCATCAGAGGATGGGAGATGGTCAGCGTCGGTCCAAGGGTACAGAGGTCAATTACACAGGAGTAAGCTTTACTCATCTAGTGCACGGCATGGTAACAACAGTTAATACTAATGTAAGCTTCAAGCTTCTAAAAACAGATCTTAAATGTTCTCACCACAAAGAAATGATAAGTGTGTGGGGTGATGGGTATGTTAATTAGCATCATTTAATCATTCCACAAAGTATTTGTCAAAATAACACACTATGTCCTATAAAGACATATGATTATTATTTGTTAATTAAAATGAAATTAAATTACTTTAAGAGACAGGCAAAATTGACTAGATTTATTTGTGTTGTTTTCTTTTTTGTTTTTTTGAGGTAGGTTTGCTATTCAGTTCAGGCTGGCCTTGAACTCACTATGTAACCCAAGCCATCCTCAAACTCATGGCCATCCTCCTGCCTCAGCCTCCAAATGCTGGATTACAGGCGTGCACCACCACTCCCACCTGACCACATTATGATCACATACATGTGATAAAGAACCATAAAGTGCTTGTCTAGCAAGCATGAAGCATGGGTTCAATACCCAGTAGCACCCCCCAAAACAAAGCAACAAAAAATGGGGAGAAAAAGTCCTCCACTGTACCCCACACCCATCTGCCATGCGGTCACAGGCACAGAAAGAGAATAGGAAACAAGATAAAGAGGTGATTTTGCTCAGAAATATTCTTACTCAGCTTCAGTGGAGCAAGTTCATCCCTATTTATAAAATCATCTGAACTTTTCTTAGACTGCTTGATAATGCCACCCAGTTTGATCAAAAGGAAATAACTTTCACCTCAAATTTCCACTGCTGTAAACTAAACAAACAAAAACACCACAGTTGCCTACAGCTTGTAAGCTCTTGTGAAAGCAGAGAAGAGGGGACC